TGCCTGGTTCTGCATCATCCTCATGATCTGGTTGGACCATTGAAGCCCATAAGGTTTTTCACTGGTTAATTTTTGCAACAAATTATTTTTTCTAATCCATTTTTAATCTGGAAGCTCAATTTAAACCTGTTCCCAATGCCAACAAGTAAACCTCCACCAACAGACAAGTGGAAGCTCTGCATTGAACTTGAATCTCCAGCATGAAGATGAGAATTCAATAACCTTAGACCCAATAGTAATACTGAGTATGTCCACTATATTTGATACATTCCATAGGTTTAAGATCAATAGTGCTTAACATAGAATCATTAGCATACAAGTAGTAAGCTTATTTCAGCTCATACCTCATTGATTTTATTTAGAATCAGATGATTTGAAATGACTCCAAATGGCTCCACCAGCTGTAAAAGTTGGTACCTCAGGTTTTTCCCTCGCTGAAAATCCATGATATGAACAACTCGGCTAGTTTCCTAACAGTAAGGGAAAAATACAACTCAACATATCTCTTCAAATGTAAAATGCAGCAAGTTTTACGTTACAATTTCAGTCCATAAATGAGAACAGTATGTAAAAACAATGTACTTTTTGTATTTCAGAGAATTTAAGAACTACTCAAGTCAAATGCCTCAGGAGTAAATTTCTGATTAGTTATAATACCTCAGAGTTTCAGGTAAGTCTCTGTACTGATTTTGAAATTAACCATCATGTACATATGTGGATATGTATTATCACTTATGTAGAAACTTTATTATTACATATGTACACGATGGTAAATTCAAGATCTCTTGAATCAAAGAGATCTCAGTACTATGGTATTTGACAACTCGATTAAAATCTCATTAGAGCCTGATGGTTTTTTCAACTGTAATAGTTTTCCTACAATAAGGACAGTAATATAGATATGATTGGCCAGGGGTTAAGATCAATCAAATCAGTCTCAAAACAATAAATACAGTAAAAGCACAAGCTATATTACTAACCACTCTGCCTTTCTGCATGTGTCTTGGTCCTTGCAGGTTTCCATTTCCGGCACCTTCAAAGAGGGGGAAAGGTTTGTGTTTTATTTTTTTCAGTCTTACAGTAACTAACAAATGTGTTTGCAATAGTTTATTTTAATATAGGGGACGGGAAAAATACCTTTGAAAAATAAGGATATAATATGCCTATCATGTCTTGCCATGCAATGTTATTTCTCAACAGCATATCAATTATCCTTTTTTGCTCGTAATTTAAGATAAAAGTTCAGGGGGAAGGAGGCAGACAAGGTAGCATGTATTTTAAATAATCACCCAGATTTCCTCTTGGTCCAACTGCTGGTCCCCCAAGATGAAATGAAGGAGGTGGAGGTCCCAGAATTCCTGGTGCTGGGTTTGTAGACTGCTGCAACATAAATGGATCACCCCTAGAAATGTGAAGATATAAAACATAATGAATGATGTTCATCATAATGAAAGTGTATCAGAAATAAGCAAGATGGTTCAATTGCCCCTACAACAACTTCAATGCTGGGACCATTGTGTAAAGAGAATGAATTAAAAAATTCACAATAAAAAAAAGACTACACGGTATTTTTAAAAAATTCAATCACAGTGTATCAAACTCAACATATCCAGCAAGAAATTCTGAAAAGACCTTTTGGTTTACAAAATGTAGAAAATTAAAGCTGAATTCTTTACACTGATTTCTTCTTGAGAAAAAAATAGCTTAAAATTTTTAAACTTACATGGTATGTCCCGTATCATTGTCAGGATTCCATTCAGGGTAGCTTTAAAAAGACCAGAAAATTAACTTTAAAATAAAACTGTCCTTTCACAAAGCAGACCTTTGGCCTCTACAATAGAGATTATTTATTATTAAAGTTATGAGACTAGTATACAGCAAGTTCATATATAGCTGGCTCCAAAGTTAAGAAATTTTCCAGAAATTCAAATTCAAATGATAGACCTGTTCAATTTTACTGAAAATGTTAACATGTATGCAAAAAGATAATTTTCTACATTTGTTAAATCGTAAGGAACAAAAATGCTACATGAGAAGAACATGGGTCTTTCCCCCCTCCCAATATTATGTATCAACAAGAGTTGAGTTGTAGCACTAGAAAGTAAATTTAAAAAAAGAAATTTAACCTAAACAAAGCTTTGTATATGTGAAAATGGCCATTTCAGAGAGCAATGGCCATTGTGTGCTATCGTAGAATGTTTTAATTTTATCCTAATAACTTAAACTTAAAACCAAAGGAAAAAACTATCTCAAAGGATTTTGCTTGACAATCCGCATGTATATTTTAATGGCTTTTTTCAGCTTCTGCATCTTCTATATTTTTAGAATAAGTTTTATTGAAAGTGATTATTAGGAGTGATTCTATCCTAGTTATCAAAAATATTCTTAAACCTACTAAGTACTCTTAACTTTTTAAAAAGTCCGGCATATACTTGAGTGTAAGCCGACCCGAATATCAACGGCGGCACTTAATTTTCCCACAATAACAGCATTAAAAATGTGCTGAGAAACTAGGCTTATACGAGTATATACAGTATTTATTTACCCTGGAATACTAAACAAGGTATTATCATTATTTTGCCACCTTATATTCAATTTGAAGTTCGAAGTCTAAGCATTTTATTTGCAATTAGTATGGCCTGACTGCTATCATCAACTATACAGCAACAACATTGTGGGCATTAAAAATAAATGAGAACATCAAGGGGGGGGGATAAAGAAAATCAACGTTGTTCTTGGTTGACAGTAAGGGTGCTTTAAAGTTATGTCAAACTCCTACATTTCAAGAAGCAGCTGGCATCTGCGGCTGTGACTTGCTCCATTGATATGTTGACTCCACTCCTGCAGCAAAGTAAATTAGCAGAATTAACAACAAAAAATAAAATATTTCACTCAAATTCTAGGGTAATTTTTATGCAGTCACATAAGTTTTACTAACACCTGCCATTCATTAAATTATATTGATTTCATTTAAAAACAATTTCTTTGAATCCTGTTAGCTTGATCCTGCCCTCAAATACGCTACGCACATTCTTGGAAAAACTGGGTAATTTGGTTAGTATACTAAAAGATCTGATAGGGAAAAGATATAGAGTATCAAAAGATGAATAGGAGTAAGGGATTTTGAGGTCAGCAAGGTAAATTAACTTGTTATGGACCAAACTAAAGTATTCGTGCTATATTATTAAAACTGTCCACCACTTTGTAGGACTTTAAGGATAAAATTATCAATGTTTGGAGCTAGTTTTCGAGAATATATATTGTAAATCTGAGTAACTACTGAAAAACCTTTCATTTAATCATACTAAGAGTACTACATACTAACATGCAGTGAAAAATGCACTGTGGTTTATAAAATTTTAAATGATTCAATAGAAACAATTTTCCTAGAAAATGCTCCTTTCCTTATGGGAAAACCTAAGTTTTTGTCCTATGACCCTAAAATTTCAGAATGATCATTTTCAAATGTAAATGGGAATTATAATTTTAATAATTTGTGCCTTTTTAGTTTAATGCATAGAAATTTTCCCGTTTCTTTTTCTTTTTTGCTTTAAAGGGGGTAAATGTGTTAAAAACAAAAAGGAGTTAAACTTTTAGGTTAAGTAAGAAGTGTTAGAAAAAGTGAGTTTTGGCACCAGTGCCTAGGTTCCATTCCCAAAAAAAACTGTGGCTTAATATTATCAGAGGGTGGTTGTGCAACGTAAAAATTTACTATCATCAGAACATTGACATGCATGTAGAAATGTTTAACAAAAAATCAACAACCCCAAACAACTATTATTATACTGCCTACAAATTGCTTTTTCTTTTGTTTTAACTTATTAATACTGTTATAAATTTCCACAAATTGAGACACCTTTCAAAACCCCTGTTACCTAACACAATTATATTTGGAATATAAAACGGGTCAGGCAATTTAATAAAGGGAGTGACACGGGTTAAGATAAGATACCCAATCTTGAAATGGCTTGAGAAGGTTATTTTATAAGCAGGATCCTAATTTTTAAAAGCAAATTTGTATTACACCGTTCACGTACATTTCTATGCCCGATACTTCAAAAAGTGTGGGAAATGGAATCTTTCCACAAACTTTCTGAAGCTTGCTCACAGAAAGAACTAAAATCCCGCAGAAGGACTGATATGGAATAGATTTAGACATAATGGTATTTTCTCAGACTTCTGAGATGAACTATACTTTGGCCATGCATCTCAAAACTAGGTTGTCTTTTTAAAATAAGTAACTCAAAAGAGATCTCTTCACTTGGCTCTACAATCAGGTATGTGGAATACCATGTTCCGACTTGCAAAGAAAACCTTAACTTGGAGGTCACTTTTAAAAAATGGCTGTAAACAGGATGTTGCCATAGGTAAAGTTCACAAAATCCAGAAGAGAATTAAATACCTACACTTAGAGTATCAACTAAAACATCCTTGGAGTAGTAGTTTTGAAAAAGTGAAAGTTTTCCTATTAAGTATGCTTCAATTTGAGACAGAAAGGGTAAGCTTGTAGTTTAAGAGAAATTACTTATACCCCATGCTCTTCAGAGTTTCAAACTCCTAGTAAAATTCGAGCTGGTTTTTCTAAGTGCTACAGAGCCAAGATCAGGAAATGAAGATATGTACCTCCCAAACCCATCCTAATCTGTATTACTAATAACATCCATTCTCTTACTGTTTAGTCTAAATTGAGGAATAAGAGTCAAGGGAATTAAAAACAAAAATAACTTATACCCTTGAATTCTGCATTGACTATCACTAGATTAGTAAAGAATAAGGATTCCATTTTTAAACTCAGAGGAAAACTACATTCACCTTAATGTTTTTGAGATATGAATCAAAAGCTACATAAAGGAAGGATCAAGTAGAGAAGCACTTCTGCAAGGGAGGAATAAAGAATAATCTAAGGGCTTCCTTCTAGAATAGCACTAAGAGGAAAAATATGAATTCAAGTGACAAGACAATGAGAGGGCTGTGGTGGGCAGTTTTATTTACGTGAAAGGAATTTGAGGGAAGTGTGAATTGTGTGGAAAAGCAACCAGCCTTCTAAAATGATCTAGGAAGAAATAAAACCAACAACATCCCTAAGTCACTTAAAAATGTAAAAAATAACCTTTATGATGGAAAATTAAGATATTTTCAACCTAAATTTCCCTTTTTTATAGTAAGAACATTCTGATCATGTAAGCTTTAGTGCTACTTCTAAGTAAAATGAGCAGATTTTCCAAGTTATGCAGCAATACCAGAGAGCAGGATTAAATGTTTAAAAATTTTTCACTGTCTACTTCCACCACAGGAATTTTCCCTAAAATCAGTTTCTATATTAGTTGCAAAATACGATGTCTACTCTTAAAGGTTAGATGTTTTACTTTTTAGTCAATTTAGCAATGTTGACAGAAAGAGAACATAAGCTGTAGCCAGAAAACTAAAAAATATTAAGCAAATCCAGGTGCTTAAAACTTAAAATTCCCTGAACTTATAACCATAAATGTCACAAATCAAACAAAATGCCTCTAGAATAGGTATGAAATGCACTCAATATTTTAAAATGAGTATGAAAGCCAGTTAAGACCTGAGCATTTTTACAGGCTAAAAAGTACTTCCCTTCCACTGTTGTCTTAACTCTTGAATTCAAGTTTCATCAAGTGCTTTAAAATCATTTTAATTTATAGCCAGTCTTCTTCATAAACTTGAAGGTGGTGAAATTGGGAGAATATACATCTTTTCTCTGATGAAATTCTGTCTTGGTTCTAATGCACTATGCTTTTTTTTTGCCCAGGCGTTAAGTTTACGTTATGAAGTAAGCTTCCACAGTCAGCTCTAGTGACCCATGATGACTCCCAACAGCAATTTTTTTTAAGTTCCTTAAAATCAGTTTTGACACTAAATTTAGCAATTAAAACAACTTATTTTGAAATAGTTTAAAGATTAAGAATAATCTGTAAATTCAAATAATCTAAGAAGTCTCTCTACTGAATTCTTGAAACCAAAATGTAGTAAAGACATAATAGAATTTCAAAAATAAAATCTCTAGTATATATAATTTAGGTTACTTGAAAATACTCACTAAAAAGTGAACTTCAAAGGATAGATTTGAAAAGAACATGATCTTACTGTAGAATAAAAGCCTGTAATAGTAACCATCAAATTAATCTCATGGTAGTAACATGTTCCAGTTAAGTAGAATTATATAACAAATCACGAAAAATGATGGTTACCGATCAAGCTAGTTATGTGCTAAAGTTGACTTTAATTCAACTGCACCATGTACTTAAAAAAATATCAATGAGAATGAGTAACACTGAAAAAGTTGAAAGAGAAAGGATAACATATTCACAAAAGGGCATTTTGTAAAAGTTCCCATTTTGCCAGATGTGATATGCTATGGAGAATTAGATTTTTTGGTTGTTCACATGACTACATCAGAAGTCTATACCTAAATCAGAAAAAGAATATGCTTATGAGGAACACAGAGCAGGATACGGTAATTGATTTTTCAAAGTCTCTAATGGGATAGATGCAATATGGGATACTTAAAAAGTGAATATTGAAGTATGTTTTTAAGAAAGTTGTGGAAAAGGAGGAAAAAAAATGATGAAAAATTTCATACTATGAGAGTTTATGTTAAAGGGAAATTAAAAAAGGAAGAATGAACTAATCTAAAATATGAAACATACTGACACACCAGGGCTCTACATTAACTCTTTCCCTGTAGCCACAGATAAGGAAAAAAAGAGAATTGTTCAAGAATACATCTTTACTACATACAAATCAGCAATCAAGACAGATGGAAAGCTAAATCTAGCATCCTGAATGGCAGAGCACATGGACTGCAAAAAAAATAAAAATACTTAAAACAATTCAACAAAGCAGACAAAAAAACCTGCTTAAATATGATTAAGAAGAACATAGTGATGCCAAAAACCAACAAGATAATCCCCATAGATGAGTTTTGTGGCCAGAAGTAATCTAGGTAGACTACATTAATGTAAAGCCCTGGTTTAAAATGCTCGAAAACAATTACCTTTCAAATAAAGTACAAAAATTCTTGATCAACTCAATGTCATCAGACTACAGAAATAGAGTAAAAGATATAAGCAAAAACAGAATAGGCACTACAATGTAAAAGAAATTAGAAGAATCTGTTGCATTAACTCACCTTATTAGAATGCACTGGCAAATCACATATAGAGCACAGATGGGGATAACCCTTCGGTAAGAGTCCATGGAAGTCTTCAATATTGCTACTTGGAGGAGCGCCTCTCTTTTTCTCAAAGAGAGATCTCTCTTGTAAGGGGCCAGGACCACGTCCCATTCTCTCATACTCACTGTCAAATTTATGATAGTTATGCGAGGTCTCACCAAAAAAAGAATCATCCCTACACCTTTCTCTATCTCTTAATCTGTCATCTTCATAATCCATTCTGTCATAATAACCAGATTCTTGGGAACGACTTCCATGGTCATAATCAAGCACTGGGTTGAGACTAGGACCACGATCATCAAAACTATCTCTTCTAAAGTGCCTTTTTTCTTCCCAATCATCCCTAGGTACTCTGTATGGTGGCTCCCGTGTAGCAGATCTGCCATCTCTACCATAACTCAATGTAGGGCCTTCTTCAGTTCTCCTCCTTTTAAGCTGTAGAAGGATTTGGGGCAGATTCTCAGGAGTAATCTTGTCCTCTGGATAACGACTCAGTTCATCTAAGTCTCTAGCAGACAGACCAAAGCTGGCCAAAATATTACTGGCCTGGTCTGCATCTCCACGGTGTTGAGAAGATAAAGGGAGTGGACCTCTACTTCCAATGTTAAATATAGACTGCAAATTATGGGAAGAAGTACTAGCAGAAGACAGTGCACTATGAGCTCCTTGTTGATTCAATGAAGAACTCATTCCAAGATTCATTAAACTAGCAAGGCGTGCAGTACCCTGGTTCATCCTTCCAAGAGATGCTGGCATACTTAAAGACTGGGTAGCAGCAGCAAGAAGGCCTATTCCTGCTGCAGACAGGTCACGCCCATGACCCTGTGAGTCCCTACCGAGAGATGACTGCTGGAATGACTTGGACATTGTAGAACTATCTCTTGTCTATTGTACAGATTAAAAAAAAATTTTTTTTAAGATGGCCAAAAAGAAAGCTCACACTAGAAAGTTAGGTTAACTTTGCTTCAAAAATGGTAACGCCAAGAAAAAGGATCAATAAGGACGGTAGACTCTTCTTCAAGCTGAGAACCAGCAGACAACTCTGTAGAAAAATAAGCAATTTTAGTCATAAATCCCTTTAAGTAGATGCCGTTTTTTCAGAAAAAAAACTTATGCATCATGTTGATTAAAAAAAAACCATTTAAGATCTCAAACTTACAAGGAATTTATTACATATTGAAAACAGATTCCAGAGATATGCAGAGCCTGCATATATTTAAAAAATAGTTTTTTGTACTAAAGCTTAACTATTAAAGGGAACTTCATACTAAGTTTAAAAACATTTAAATAGAAGGGTTAGATGTCTGAGCACATAAAAATTTCCAATAAAAATATAGATGGATCTTTTCTTTTATAAGAATAAAACACACCCTATAGTATGATGTTTAAATTCCAGAAGATTAAAAACAAAAACTAGGTAAGCAAGTCAAAGATGAATCAATTGTATTCTGCTTTGGAAAATGAGACCTATTATCACTATCAGAAAGAACCTCATAAAAAAATCACAAGTAAACGAAGCTTAAGTGTCAAGTACCTGCTATAAGATCAAAGACCAAACACAATATTTGAGACCTTTAATACAGTAAAATAAATTTAAGGTGAAGACAGATGTAAGAAAAACAAGTCACTTTCTTCAGGTTAAGAATTTCTACCCATATTTAAACCATGTAACTGTCATCTTTGTTGCCCATCCTATACCAGACAGTGCTCATTTCATATCAAATCTTGTAAGGCAAGGAGAAAGAAGTCTGGTCAGTGCAGGAATAGGTGAGTGATACTCCAAGAAAAACCTGGGTACAGGAAGCACAGGTAATTTAAAGAAGTAACTCTCCCAAAGTTGGCATTTATCAATGCTTATTTTAATGCTGTTGGGTACAGCACCTCTAGAGTTCCAAACAGATAAAAATGAAAATGAGATCTTATGGTTAGAGAGATTTCTGTAAACTTCCTGAAAGAGTAAGTCACCTGGAAAATTTTTATACTGAATCTGAATGAGCTCAAAGATGTCTTTCAGGATGGAATAATTTTCAATTTCTTCCTTAAATTATCATTTTACCTTATAGTTTACTCTACTTACGTAAGAATTTACAACGCATTTTTGTACGATTCTCATGAGTTAAAAGATGTATAGAACAAATGTCCTCAATGAAACAATTTTATAATCATAAATGCATACATTTAACTCTGAAATTGTTTGCATAGAATTCTATTACAAGCATTGTCCCAATTTAATTGCATACATTTGACCACCCATACACCTACAATCTATTCAATTTTGTGATAGTAAAAACAGTGAATTTTCAATAGTTACAAGTCAATCCCACTAATGAGAGATAAAAGGATACACTGGATGAATAGTGTTAGGAAAATTAAAAAAAGTTACAGGTAAGAAAGATTAGATTTCAAAAAAAGATGTAATAAAGTTAAAGACACAGAAATGCTATCAGAGGTGACTAGTGTTACAGAAAATGTTTTTGCACAAGAAAGATGAATTTGAGAAGACACCAAAGAAACTAGTGCTAGATCCACTATCTAAAACTACTTAAGGGTTAAAATAAGATTGTAAGACAAGAGTAAATGGCCTGCTTTAGAAGAAAGTTTTCAGATATGCTATGTAAATGCCATGTAGTGTTGAAATAACTGTAAAAATTGGTAGAGTAGCACCCCTAAAATATTCAAAAGTTTACTTTAAAAAAACCAAAAGTTGGGTTTTCTAAAACAAAACAAAAAAATTCAAAGTACCCAGGTTGTCATTAATTGCAGTTTTGTTATTCATGTTATAGCTCAAGTTTTCTATTACTGAAAAGCTTATCTTTTCAAACTATTCTTTCCCAGCAGGGAATTATATAATTATATGAAAATTTTTAAACATCATATTTTAAAGGAATATGATTAAGATTAGAGATCTGCTCCCCCACCCCCACCCCGTAGCTCATATGAGATCAGTGGATCTACAGAAGGAAATGTTAAGAGAAGTAAAGGTATAAAGATGAAAACCTTAAGACAAGACAAAATGGATGTCAGCAAAACTCAAGAAAAAGGGCAACATAAAAATGTAAATCTCATGACAGTTTGGAACCCGGTAAGAACCTTAACATTGAGAGTGAGTTCATGTAAAATACAGTTGTGAGTTCATGTAAAATACAGTCATTATTAGTAAAAAAGGACCTTAAATTCTGCGGTTGGACACAAATAAGCAAATCCTTAAAATGTTTTATTAGAGCAGAGATTTCAAACACAAGAGTATTGTAGAAAGAAACAGGTCCTTCATTATCTCTGGCCAATGTTGAACATTGTTGTACTGCAACAAGTCATTTTTAACAAGCTCATTTAAACAATTCTGTTTAATAACGTACCACAAATTATAATACCATTTTAAAAATAGTCTCTCTGAAAGAACGAATCTAGAAAGCAGTGTCAAAATACAACTTACTTCAAATTTATACATTCATCAATGGAGTATGTATCACTGCAAAATACAAGCTCCTCTAGTGAAAACCTCGAAGTGCCCTTAAGGGTTACACACTGGGTTGCTAACCAGAGATGAGGCTTTCTGCTCCCATAAAGGTTTACAGGTCTACTCTACCCTATAAAGTCACTAAGTTGGAATGGATTCGATGGCAGTAAATTATTAAAAACCAAGAAGCATTAAAAACAAAAAAACCCAAGTTACCCTAATTAATGTGGTTTTCTAGAGATGTTCAAATTAACTTAAGACCTTAAAACTCATTTATATAGACAACTTGAAAGAAAAACCAAATGGTTGTTGATAAATCATCCCAAAAATGGAGGGAAAAAAAATCATCCTAAAAGTGTCAGGTTCTTGTTCTTGTTCAACATCTAAACAAATACTGTCTTTATGTACAGTTAAGTGAGTGGGAAAATGACGTCTTTAGTTTTTATATTTAAAAGGCAATTAGAACAGGACAAAAAAATCTAATCTTATATGTTTCATGTGGTCACTCTTGTGAATTATAACTATGTACCAAATATAGTTGGGGTAGCAACCACATAAAAACAATACAACTGGTATTAAATTATCAATCCTAACCATGCCTATCAGGGCAGAGTTTGTTCACTATCCTTTCAAGAAGGCTTGAGTTTTTCATTACTCACATCAAAATGGATTAAAGACCAAGCACCTCTTTTCAGTTTATGTCTGTGGCATTTTTTAAATTCGTACAACTTTCTCCAAATTAGTCTTCTCACCAGTATCATTCTCATATTAATTTTTCCATATTTATTAAATGTCAATAGTTTTACAAAGAACTTAACCAACATAGCTCCCATTTCAACTTAGAAATTTCATTTTATTAGTTGCCTCAATATATTTTATAACTTATTTAAATGCTTAACTTTAAAAAGTAGACTATCTGAGAATTTAGAACTATCTGAGTTCTTACTAGAATTTAAACTACTCAAGAATCTTGGTATTGAATCTGTGTTCTTCAGTACCATAATCTCATTTTTGTGTAGCATTTACTTTTGGGTAGCTGGGATTTTAAAACAACTAGTAAATAATTTAAATAGCAAAATCCTCAGTTCTATTCCGTTTTACTAAGGCATTATGTGCACCACGACACAACAGAAAGATGAAGTATTATAAAATAGTGCCAGGAATGTTGGGGTAAGAAATTTTTTTAGAAGTGTTCTAATATAATTGTTCTTAAATCCACTGACAGACCTGGACTCAATTTCTAGATCACTTCTTGGTCTTTAGGGTCCTAAGAGTGTTGCAGTGCCTTCAGCTGCTGAGAAGATAAAAACTTCATGTTAATCTGTAGTAGGGATTCCTGTTCAGACTTGGAATATTTCTTTTTCCTAGGTTTAAAAAATTTTTTTAGTGACTTTCAATTATTCAGGCAGTAAATATTTTCAGATAAAAGCTACAAAGACAACTGATTCAAAACCCACAAACAGGAGAGAACATTACCCCCATTTGCTGACACTACTGACTCTAATATGATCTGATATAAATTAGGCTTACACTTAAAAACTAGTGGTTTCCCTCAAAGCTCTACTCTATGTCTTTAAAATTTTCCTCCTTCAGTTAGTTGCCACAACATTGTACAACTCTATAAGTTGATATAAAAGACTTTTGCAGCGTGAATTTTTTTCATTTTAATTCAGTTTACTACAATAGCTATTGTTTCCTCCCATGTAAAATGGAAAAATGCCTAGGCTTTGTTAAGGTTGTGGAGGATTACATCATGTCAGCACATAATAAGCACACTAGTAATCTATTTTTATCTAATTTGATACTCGCAAGCAAAATAAATACAATTTCATTTTTACATGAGAAATTATAGGTGCCAAGACTAATACTCAGACATTTGCACTGATGGTAAAACCTGTGAACACCAGAAATCAATGCAAGGAAAATCTTTGTCATGAGGAAAATGCAAATATTTTCACTAATACAGAAAAAGTGGTAAGACTGCAAAAATCTAGAAAAATTAAGGTGGTCTTGTGGAGCTCTAACTCTGACATTTCATAACATAACATTTCACTTTATACCACTTGTTTATATTGTACTCCCTGTTTCAGATACCAACTTTAATGTCTTATCTATTTCTAGTCAAAGCTAGGACTCAAAATTGAAATTTATCACCTACCTTTGCAAGACCAGATTTGAAAACTTGTTAGTATCCTTGACAGGTAAGATTGGTTTCTGCTGAAAGTAGAAAAATCTCTTATTCTATATTGCCAATCTGTCAATTACTTTCTCAATCTTGAAAAGGCCTCTGCCACTCTAGTCCCTCTGCCATAACATTACTCCAGATTCTCAGTCTTTGGGGTCACACCTCATCACCTTCCAAATAACATCTTGAATTATAACTCCTTTCACTTGCCTGAAACACTTATAATGGTTCTGTATGACTTACCACATGAAACATGTACTATGATTTTCAATGCCTTTTGCTTCATAAGCCCATCTCCTCACCATCTGCCCCCCCATATCCACATGAGAAAGGTTTAGTATTCCCTTCAAGTCAGTGCAAATTTAATTCACATTAATTGGAACTCACCCCCCCCCATTCAAGGTAACTCCAAGTAATTTAGCTCTTACTCTCTCCCCACAAAATAGCCCCAGTGAATCAATTTTGACTTAACAGTGACAAGCCTTCTCCTGCCCTATGAGCTTTCTCAAAGTAAAACTATGCTCTATAGGCTTTGTTTGTGGCTGTGACATTTTTGGAAGTAGATTTCCAGGCACTTTGGGGCTCTTTAGGCCCACACCTCCTCTTTTAACTATGCAATAGATTATGAACAATATGGCATATACGAATACCCAGGAACCTAAGAATCTTAACATCTAAGTGTAGAAACACAATTAACAGGACCTTGTTGTTAGGTTTGTAAGAAGCCCTGATGTGTAGTGGGTTAAGCATTGGGCTTCCACCGAAAGGCCAAGCTGGTAGAGCTGTGCCACAGAAGAGGCTCTCTACTCCCATAAAGATTTACAGTCTTCTCTTTAATTTTTATCTGTATATTGTTTTCTTGGTTCATTTTGTTTTTATCCTTTGTTAGGTTTCAAAGTTTGTGAGGCACACGAGTGGATGCATAGAGACAATAACTGATTCAATGGTTTATCAGGGATGTGTGGGACGAGAAGGAGCATTAGAACTGATTGTGATGTATATAAACTCTTTTAAAAAACGATTTAACTAAGGATGTGTATGATGTGAATATTTTATCATGAAAGCTACAACCCAAAAAAGGGGGAAAGAATCCAAACTTGACCAATGGCTACCATGGGTGAAAGAGGAAGTTTTTGCCTAGAGGACATTGAATTTATGTTAATGGTGGCAGAATTTGTTAAAGGATGTCAACAATGGTTGTACAAAACAGAGTATAACCAACGGCACTGAATTATACATGTAGAATTTGTGGAATTGGAGAATGTTTTGTGTATATTTTTACAACAAAAAATTATTACACTAAAAAAAAAAAGACTTATAGTCTTGGAAAACCTGACAGTTCTGTTCTATAAGGTCCCTGTGAGTTGGAATCGACTGAATATTATTAGGTGCCATCCACAGTGATCATATGTACCATGGAACAAAAACATTGGCCAACCTTTCACTAAGACCCTAGAAACCCCTCTATCAGTTTCCAATGCATTCCCCCTTCCTCTCCTGCATTCCTTTTAGAGCTTTTCCCTTAACATGCAAGACATTATCCCAAATGTAAAAATTATGTGAAGTAAAAATGGATTTATCCCTATTTATATACCTATTATTATTTAAAAGACTGTTCCTATTAGGAGCCAGCTCCTGGTGGAGTAGTGGTCACCCACTGGACTGTTCACAAGGTCAGTAGTTTGAAACCATCAGCTGCTCCCCACAGAAGACTAGTCTTTCTACCCTCACCAAGAGTCAAGTCTCAGAAACCCACAAGAGTTCTGCCCTGTCCTACAAAGTCACTTATAAGTCAGAATTGACTTGATGGAGGTGAGTGTTCTTATTTTATTATTTATTTATTTTTGGTCTACTTAGAATGTAGAACCCTCATGTACTTTTCCTCAATACCACGGCCTGCCCATGAATTGATGTTAAAATCGGTCAGTTTCCATCTTCACAAAGCAAGATTAGTTCAGGTACAAATAGTTGTATTTGTTTGATGGTACCATTTCTTCATCAACTACGGACCCAAGTCAAATATTCAAAGGCTTGGCTACAAAATTTCACATGCACATAGGTTCTTCCAGAGAGATAATACTGCAAGTTAGAGTTTATTCGAACCCTTAATGTTTTTCATATTTGCTCCATTATTTATTGCCACCACCACCCATACCTTCCTGTAGGCATTTTTTTCCCTTTGCTTTTCCGCCCAGAGACTCCCTCAAACCAAATGTTTTCATTGCTTTCCTTCTACAATTTTATTTCTATACCAGTAACTCCTAGCCCAACAAGTAGGGCTCTAGATTAGTTTGTCAGAGACATACTGCTTAAAAAAAAAATTTCAATAAAAAGCAAGTATTTTCTATAAACCACAGGCTACACCAACTTATTTTACCTACCGCCCCCTTAAAAACAGTAACAAAACCGACCACCACCACCCCACCTTGGAATTATGGCCCATAATCCAGTAAAGTGTATGATTATTCTGCTTCCGCAGTCCTCCTGGATCATTTTCAGTGCACCCCAGCCCAGGGGCTTCATCACCCACTTGGGGAAAACCGTGACAGCAATTATGCTTTGAAATCCTTTTTTAAAGGAGTCTGTGTGACCACAAGGTGTCAAAGGGATCAGGTATCAGGCATCAAGGAACAAAAAATCGTATCATTGTAAATGAGCGAAAGTACAGAGTGGAGACCCAACGCCCATCTGTAGGGAACTGGACACGCCCTTACTGAAGGGTCCCGGGGAGATGAGCCAGTCAGGGTGCAGTGTAGCAATGATGAAACATACAACTTTCCTCTAGTTCTTTAATGCTTCC